TTAGCCAAGGCAGTCAGGCAAGAGAAGGAAATTAAAGAGATACTAATAGAAAAAGAAGAACTGAAATGACCTCTGTTTACAGATGATACTATCCAACATTTAGAAGGTCAAAACTCTACCAGAAGATGGTGACAACATAGCAAAGTTACAGAATATAATATCAACCTACAAATATCAGTAGTTTCTTTGAACATCAATCACAAATCTCGTGAAAAAGAAACAGGGAAAACAACTACTTTCACAATACCCTGTAAAAAAATAAAATGACTACAAATAAAGCTGACCAAGGAGGCAAAAAACTTATATAATGAAAATTCCATATCACTTAGGAAAGAAATTGAAGGAGATATTTGAAAAGGGAGAGACTCCTCATGTTCCTGGACAGGACAGAAATAATTTTGTTAAAATGGATTTATTACCAAAAGTTTTATTCAGATTCAATAAAATCCCATCAAAACACTAATGACATTCTGCAAAGAAATAGAAAACACTGCTGAAATTCATATGGAAGAATAAAGACCTAGAATAACAAAAGCACTTTTTAGCACTAAGAGCAATCCTGGAAACATCAGAGTACCCAATCTCAGATAATTCTAAAGAGTTATAGTAACAAAAACAGCATAGCAACAACATAGAATTAAACATATAGACCAAAACAATAGAAGACAGTAAGATACGTCCAAATAGATATATTCATCTGATCCTTCACTGAAGGCACTAAAACATGTTGAAAAAAAATAGTCTTGTTAACAAATTATATTGGAAAAACTGGACATCCATGAGTAGAAGAAAGAAGCTAGATCCCTCTGAGCCACCTTCAATAAAAGTGACCTTAAAGTAGATGAAAGACCTAGGAATTAGAACAGGAACTTTGCAAATGTAGGAAGAAAATATAGAGTCAATACTCAAAAATATAGGTATATACATTGGTTTTCTTAATAAGCCCCCTGAAGCTCAAGAAATAAACCAATAAGCAATAAATGGGAGGGCATTAAATTAAAAAGTTTCTGCATTGAAAAAGAAACAATAAAGAGTATGAAGAGAGGGCATATGCAATGGGAGAATGTTGCGGCCCTCTCATCTCTCTCAGCCATGCCCTTTAATTAAAGAGATACCAGATGAAGGGTGACAGGGGAACGAAGAAAACACAGACACACAAGAGGGGCCCGGGTTGGTAGCCAATCCCTGATGGAGGATGACTGAGCGAGCTCAGCACATTTATTATATAGGTTTCATCAAAAGATTACTTGTGGAAAAGTTTCAGCAAAGTAGGCAATCTGAAGGACAGAGGACTGGCGAGACATTAGGATTATCTTGTTATGCTCAGAATTCTCTATTCCTGAGAGTTGGGAGCTGAACTCAAGGCCTCGAGTGGTATCTCTGAGCCTTTGCACAGAGTTTTTTTTGGGGCCAGTGACACCATAGCAACTGGCCCTTTTGGCTTGCACCTTCATACATGTAGTTCTCAGCACAACACAGCCACTAAAGGGTCAGACCATGATTCAAATCATCACTCTCCACAGGAGAAAATCTTTGCCAGCTACTGTTCTGGTAGGGTATTCATATCCAGAATATATAAAGAACTCACAAATTTAACATACTCATGTACACGCATGTGAATACACACACACACACACACACACACAAACACACACACACCATCACTCAAGGAAACCCAGGCTATAAATGGGCAAGTGACCTAAACACATATTCCTCAAAAGAAATACAAAAGGGCAACAAACATATGAGAAAATTATTCAACATCCTTATTAATCAGGGAAATGCAATTCAAAGGGACACTGAGATTTCATCACATTCCAGTTAGAATGGCAACCATCAAGAATACAAAGAATAATAAATGCTGGTGAGGATATAGGGAGAAAGGAACTCTTACACTTTGTTGGTGTGACTGCAATTTAGTACAACTACTATGGAAGTCAGTCTGGAGATTCCTAAAATGACTAGGTATGGAACCAGCATATGTCTCAGCTATTCTACATTCAGAATTTATGCTAAAGAACTAAAGTCAGCATATTATAGAAATAAATATATACCCATGTATACATCAGCACAATTAACAATTTCCAAGTTATGAAACCAGCCTCAGTGCACATCAACAGATGGATAGATAAAGAAAATATGTAAGTGTACACAGGAGAGTTTTGCTCATTGATGAAGAATAATGAAATTTTGTCACATTCTGGTAAATGGCTGGAACTGTAGAACATCATGCTAAGTGAAGTAAAGTAGATTCCAAAAGTTAAGGGATGTATATTTTGCCTCATATTTAAAAGTTAGAGAGAAAAAGGAAAAAAAGAGGGAGTTTGCAAAACTGAAAAGATGACCAGTAGATTAGAAGAAGGGAATTGGGTTAGGGAGAAGGGGAGGTAAAGAAGGAGGTACTGTGGAATGCCATCAACCAAATTATGTTATGTGCATTTAGGAGTATGCAGAATGAATAGTTCTGATACTCAGTTAAAATGTTCCAATAAAAAATAAATTTATTATAGCAAAAAATCTCCTTGTAGACACTTTGGAGAGCAAAAGAGAAAGAGAAAGCAGCCTATGAACCAAGAACAATGTGTTATTTTCTTATCAGCTTTCCAAAGAATCTTCACCTTTACTTAAATATGTTCCTGTGTCCAGCACTGATGAATAGTAAATTAACTTATAATTTTTGCATATCTGAAGATGCCCTTATTTTGTCCTCATGATGGTGTGACTGTTCATCTGGGTATAGAAATCTGGATTGGTGTTTAATTTCACTCATCGTTTGGGAAGATGTGATTCCACTGTCTGATGACTTTGTGGTTTTTGATGGAAAGTATGCTGTCAGTCTCATTATCATTATTTTGTGACAAAGGCATGACATGGTACAATTCTTCATTTGTTGCTAAAGTTGTAATAACCATATGTTACATTTATTTCTTTACAGAAGGCGAGGCTTTATACTAAATACCTGATATGACCTATTCACTAAACATCACCCAACTCCATGGAGCAGGTAGCATTATTATGCACATATTGAAACAGAGACACAAAGTAAATATTCAATTTGTACACCTTGTCTCATATTGGGGATTTTGATCTTCATTATTGCATAAGTACAATTTAAAGGGACTTCTTTAAAGAGAACTCATGAATCAATATTCTTATGTTTGTAAGGCAGCTGGTGATCTCTTTTCTGGATATTTGTCTTCCCCTTGAGAATTCCTCAGAGAAACCGTTTGTTCTTTGATCTGTCTTTGCATGGACTGACATCTGGATTTGTGAGGTCTTCTTGAGAAATAAATACTCTCATTGTCAGCATCTAGAACTACGTGTGACACATGGTAACACTTTAGAAGGATGTCAGTCCCCATGTCCTCAGCTTCCATCTGGCTACTGACCCAATGGAGACAGAAGAGTGGGGTCCATTTCGTTTTACTCCACTTTCACAATTACAAGTTTACCTACGAGGATTGACCATCCTGATCTTAATCCTTCTAGTTGGTTTGATTCACACAGATCCTTTTCTATTTTTTGAATTTCATAATAGTCCATAAGCCTGCAGGTTGCCATATGGGCTACATCTTTACATATGGGTTTGGGTTTAGTTAGTGAAAACATACTTGGTATTTATACCAATGGGCAAACAAAGAGAGAATACTGTGGGATAGATTTACAGATATCTTTTCCCTAGGCACATATATTAAGGAGCCCTTGAATCCTATTATCCAACATTATAGATCCCATTTGGTGCTGATTCAGGTATTCAGACTCAGTTCCCTTTCTCCCACTCATTCACTCATTTCTTCACTAGCGTAGCTACCAGTCACACATTATCTCATTGTCTAATTTCTTTCTGCATTTACTTTATATAATGGAGCAAGCATTTAAGGATTCCTACGGTAAACAGCCCAGTGGAAGATAGGAATTCTAAAGTATGAACTGATGCCTGTGCTCCTCACATACACCAGTCCCCTTCCATGACAGTCCCAGCGTATTCATTTTAAAATAGGAAACTCAGTTTTGTCTGTGATTTTGATTGTGCGTGATTGCATGTCCCTAAGTGCCCAACGATATTCTTTCATTCCTTTGAACACACCTGAAAAAGCTTCCTGTCTTTGTTAATCTTGACCTCAGCATCATGTTAGAAGACAATATTATAGCTGATAGTGTGGGGAAGAATTTGCCCTAATTTTCTTTCTCCTAATTCTACTCCTGGAAATAATGCAGACATAAACTTCCAGTTTTACAAATTTCTGGTTGTTTTTATTAAGAAAACTTATAGAGGAATGTATGACAGGACATGTTGCTATACAATACGTTTTTTAGACACGATTGCTTTTAGAAGTCAGGTAAGAATTAAATATTGGTATATTTGGAAGTAATTCTTGCTCTGAACTTTGTCTCTGATATCTGAAATTGACAGAGGAGATAGATTTGATTGCATGGTTAAATATCATTGGACCTCCTTTTATATTGAAGCTCCAGAGTCAAGCAGACTTAGATAATGAGCAATCATACTATGGATTTATGGATTTAACACAAATTTAGAGTAATATGATTTGAATTAGATTTTGGTGTTCTGCACTATGACAATCTTTCAAGTGATTCTTAAAGGCATGGACATATGAGAACTGTGGCTCTATGCTGTATATGTGAATCATGTTGTTATTTTGCACTCTAAGAATTGAAAATATAAGCCTGATATCATATACATATTAGTATTACCTGCAAATAAATTCATTCTAATGGTGTGTTACAATGTCGGATCCTATTGTATCTAGGATTAGAATCTGGCTTTTAAACTGGGAGTGGTATCTTATCTCTGAAAAAAAGACATACAACGTTTCCTAAAACCTAATTATATTTCCAAACCATGAAGAGAAAAATTCACATTGTAAAAGAACAATTCGGAGAAATAAAAGAAAAGGAATAATTGTAATTACATAATATTATTAAACACTAGATGCCCAATGAATGTTTTAAATTTTTTTTTTGCAAGCAATACACAATTAACAGACTAAGCCTAGTGAGGATTTTGCTTTTCCAACAGCCTTCCTGAATGCACTGTTGACCTCTTTGTTCCTCAAGCTGTAGACCAGGGCGTTCAGCATGGGGATGATCATTGTGTAGAACACAGATGCCATCTTATCTGTGTTCATGGAATGGCTGGAATTTGGCTGTAAGTACATGAAGGCGATGGTTCCATAGAAGATGGAAACAGCTGTGAGGTGGGACCCACAGGTGGAGAAGGCCTTCTTCTGTCCCTCAGACGAATGCATCCTCAGGATAGCAACCAAAATGAACAGGTAAGAGCTCAAGATGACCAAGAGAGTGAAAAAAGTATCAAATGCTGCCAATGTGAAAAGCACAATCACATTTGTGTAGATATTAGAGCAAGAAAGAGCCAGAATTGGGGGAATGTCACAGAAAAAGTGATTGACACATTGGAACGACAGAAGGAGAGATGGAATGTGAAGGCTACGTGGACAGAAGCCTGCAGAAGTCCACAGGTATAGGAGGCGGTGACCATCAGGACACACACAGCGCTCGTCATGGTGGTGGTGTAGCGCAGGGGCTTACACACGGCTGCATGGAGATCCAAGGCCATCGAGGCCAGCAGGAAACTCTCAACAGTGACAAAGGCTGCAGAGAAGACCATCTGGGCTGCCCAAGCATTGTAGGAAATGATCTTATCTCCTGTGAGACACCCCGCCATGACCTTGGGAGTGATAGCTGAAGAATAAACGCAGTCCACCAGAGACAGGTGACTGAGGAGAAAGCACATGGGAGTGTGGAGACGGGAGTCCAGCAGGATCAACAGGATCATGCCCAGGTTCCCAACCAGACTGATGAGCTGACTATGGCTGCCATGGTGGCTTGTTTCATGTCTTTTGGACTCATTTCAGCTTTTCTGGTGTCTGGTATTCTTTATTGCAATAAGCCATGTGATATAATCTCCAGGATATATAAAGGATTCAAAACACTTAACACCACAAAACAAACAACCCAATCAATAAATGGTCTAAGGAGCTGAACAGACACTTCTCAGAAGAAAATATATATTTGATCAACAAATATATGAAAAAATATTCAACATCTCTAGTAATTAGAGAAATGCAAATCAAAATTACTCTAAGATTTCATTTCATGCCAGTCAGAGTGGCAGTTATCAAGAATACAGACAACAATAAATGTTGGTGAGGATGTGGGGGGAAAGGCACACTCATATACTGCTGGTGGGGCTACAAAATGGTGCAACCAATCTGGAAAGCACTATGGAGACTCCTTAGAGAACTTGGAATGGAACTGCCATTTGACCCAGTCTATATCATCATACATAGTAACACAGTCACATCAACTTTATAGCAGCTCAGCTCACAATAGTTAAACTGTGGAAGCAACCTAGATGCCCTTCAATAGATGAATGGATAAGTAAACTGTGGTATATATGCACAATGGAATATTACCAGCATTAAAAGAAAATAAAATTATGGCATTTTCAAGTAAATGGATGGAGTTGAAGTATATCATGCTAAGTGAAGTAAGCCAAGCCCCCCAAAACAAAGGCTGAATGTCCTCTCTAATAAGTGGATGTGGATACATAATGGGGGAGGCATGGGAAAAATTGAGGAACTTTGATTGGGCAAAGGAAAGGGAAGGATGGGGAAAGGTCATGGGGGCAGGAAAGACAGTGGAATGAGATAGACATCATTACCCTAGGTACATGTATGACTGCACATATGGTGCGACGCTGCATCATTGTGCTGCTATTGTGTAAAATGAATCAAAATGCATTCTACTATCATA